CTATTTAAACTCTCTGATCATAATCTAATTCTAAGCCAATAAGAATTTCTAACCTAAAGTATTACTTAACAATCAAATTGTATTTTGTATCTACTATACTTAGTATTAGTATCCTATTTTAGAGCTTATTAACTATTACTAACAAGTCTATTCTCGAGATAAACCAAATAAAGTGGTATATGTTCTATTCATATACAATATATATTTACCTACATGTTCAATAACTTCTTTTTAATTTGTACCTGTTATACTGCTGCTTATAATTGTCTCTCATGCTATCTTTTGGGATGCTACTATATTATGGTTGTATTTTAAGCCACTTCCTTTCTAATTAGTCTTCATATACGGTTTTATATGTCATTTATTTAAAGACAACTTTTATGTCACAATAAATTAAGCAAACAAATAATTTAATGAACTTTACACATCACGTGATCGAATTACATGAAATCTGATTACCGAAACTCAAGCAAATTACATAAAATTACGCAACTTATGACAATTTACAATCCAAAAGATAGTATAGAGAAGAATATCGTGTTTTAAGAAAACCAAAAACTACCTATTTTAATGTCGTGCGCATATAGTTCATTGGATAAATAAGCAAATAAAGATATTCGAAAAAATATGATACCCTAGCACCCACAAGCCTCGTATTTATTTGCATCACTATCAATTTTGATCGGATCCGGGAAGTCACTGTAGCTTAACAGAAATAAAAAAAATAAGACTAAAAAAAAAAAAAAAGAAATTAATAACAACGTATGCCTATGAATTTAATAACATACAGGATATCTTCAGTCTCCTGTTGTAAAGCATTTTTAGCTATGGTTTGGAATGCCTGTTCCACATTAATGGCCTCCTTTGCGCTTGTTTCAAAATAAGGTGTGCTTCCTTTGGATTGACACCAAGTCATAGCACGTTTTTGAGAAACCTGGTAAAGAAATATATGGTTAGAGATCATTAAAACAGCAAAATGGCATTAAGAGACTATTTCAAAGATCAACTATAAACTTTAATGTTGATATCCAACGAATTAAGATCATAAAATACCATTCTTTTTGATTCTTCCAGATCAATTTTATTACCCAGGACCACAAAAGGGAAATTTTCAGAGTCTCGTGGAGAGGCCTGAATTAGAAATTCGTCCCTCCAACTGTCCAACGTTTCAAAACTTTTGGCATTGTTAACGTCGAACATAAGGACACAACAATCGGCTCCACGATAGAAGGCAACTCCCAGTGACTGAAAACGTTCTTGACCCGCAGTATCCCAAATCTTGTCAAATTAAAGGACAAACTTCTATAGACAATTAAAAAAAATCGAAACATAAAATAAAATGTGATCTGTGTAATACAAACCTGCATCGTCACAAGGCGATCATCAACCATGACCTCTTTGGTCAAAAAATCAGCGCCGATGGTAGCTTTATATTGATTGCTGAATTTCTTATTGACATATTGATTCATTAACGATGTCTTGCCTACACTAAACTCATGAAAAAAAGAATTGAAACAAATTTGAGCTTAAGCTGATTAATTCAATTTTTGAAGAACCTTTCAATTATTAACCATTATTCTAAAGGTATCATTTTTACAAAAGACCTTCATTAAACGAATTACTTAAAAAAAATTTTTTTTTTTTTGGCAGCCATAATATCTGGTCCTTATAAAATTGGGATTTTATACTTCTAACATAGAAAATAGGATTTTATCCATGCTAAAAATCATATATATGAAAGTTAACCTACCCGCTATCTCCCAGAATAATAACCTATAAAGATAAATATAAAAACATTCGATATTATTAGTTTTCTAGATAGTCAATTATAATATTGAAAGAAAGGGAAAAACTTCATAGATCACAATTGACATCGAATACCTTCAAAAGAACTTTCTTACGGGAGGCCATTATAAAAAATTATACTATAAAGTAAAGAAAGCTCAGTACAAAGTATTTCTAAAATATACTCGAGACTAGTTTTTTTGCGTTTAGTCAAAAAGCCACGTTATGTTTCGTGAAGAAAAGACGCGGTGGTTTTTTTTTTTTTTTGGACTGTTACTTTGATAATGTGATAACGATAGACAAAGCAGGAGTAAAGTCAGCTTATTTAACGCTAACGGACTTCTTTTTGGGCTGAATAAATTGTGAAACAAGAAGAAAAATATCACAAGGTACCTGAACACACGACGGTATAATGACATCAGACAATAGGATTCTAGCCACAGCTAACACGTGACTAATGTTCGTTCTAATTCTGAGGGTATAGTAATAAAGAAATAAATCTTTAAGAATAGACTCCGAAATATATAACAAAGGCTACGTACAAAAAAGGCTAATATTAATTAAAAAATTCTGCAAATCTGATTGGTTAAAGAACTTCTTAGCTAATCAAAATCCAAGAAAAATAACATTTTTTTTTTTTAAAGATTTCAACATCTAACTGACCAAATTGATAAATTTTTTTTTGTTTGAATTTTACAGATTTTACAATTAAAATAAAAAAAATTATTAGATTTGGTTAAATAA